TCTGCTTGTTTTCCTACGTGAGGAACAGCCGTTGTGGAGAAAAGACTGAAACAAGTTGCAAGTGTTTATGCTGAACCACTGAAATTTATTTTGTAAGTGAAGGAAGTCTAGTTAGAGATTTTGCCTTTCAGCTGCAGAAAGGCTGTCTGTAGGAAGCTTTATAAAAATGAGAATGTGTAATGATTGTGTTCTAGTTATGTATTTTTTGCTATTCAGGTGTACACAAGATGTTACCACTGCTCCCTTTGATATGCTAATGGCTATTGAGTCTGTTGCCACCCATAGTTCTCTGTGGATTTTGGACTCTGTAAGGGAGTTTTCCCTTGAAGTCAACAAGAGTAATTGCGTGCCTACTGGTGGCAGGATTTGTCTTAAGCAACCGGACAGCCTAGCTGGAGCTGCTGCTGTAAATCTTGCGGCCCTGAAGTTCTTTTTGTGGCTTGCACTCTGCAGGCACTAAGGATGATGCTGTGCTTTGAGTATTTTTTCTAACTGCCCACTGGCTGCTTTCCATGGTCATTTGTAGTTTATGACTGAGTACCATGTAGAGAAAGGAAAAAAATCTGTTAAGTTAAAACATTTAAATAGAATCAAGGTAATGGAGATTTACCACCTTGTTGCATGCAGTAGAAAAACACATGTACGTAGATAGTTTTTTGCCAGTCAAGTATCCTGTTCTGTATTCCCTTGTATGTCTGATGAGCAGATTGAGATGTATACCAGTGGTTTGAAAATTGAAAACCTTCAGTGTTCACATAAATTACAGGTCAAGTCTTCGTAGTGCATCACTGCCCTTTACAGTAAATCACATGTAAAACTAAGTTATGCCCCATTTAAATGACAAAGGAATTCTTGGACTACACAGTAGCTCTTTCCAGTAGTAGCTGAATAAAAGAAGGAAAAGTAATAAATAATTAAGATGGTAATATGTTTGACCACTCTTTTTTTTTTTTATATGACTTTTTTCAGTTATTATTGTAACGGAATTGCTCCTTTCAAAGACAACTAAAGTGCTAATGATAGCTAAGAAGGTCATTCATAAGAGGTTAAATTGGTTTAATTAGTATTTATGAGAAGGTTACTATAAGAGTGCAGGAAGATGTTAAGGGGTTAACCTATAAGAGATTACATTGTAGTCAGTGTTCTGTTAAAGTTTGAATTAATTTTTCCCATGGGTTTTTCACATTCTAATTTTCAACTAAATGAGACATCTGTTTCAGAAAAGGAAAATTTGCTATGGTTGTCATAGCAACTATCATTCTGTAAGAAAATTATTCCAATGGTTACTTTAGAACAGAAAGATAGAAATTCAGTACATAAAGCAACATCCGACTGCTAGCACAAATTCTGATAATTCAGCCCTTTTTGTATGGTGGATTATTTGACCTGTAAAACTTGTTCATATGTTTTTAACATAAGGTTAATTGTGCTGTAAACAAATTTACTTCCAATATATTTTCCCCTGAGAGTCTTATGTGTAGACAATTATTATTTTTATCATAATAATAATGCTGTTGAATTTCAGTAGGAAATGGAGAGACTGCAACTGTTCTATTTAAGAAGATAAGACCTAAATCAAAGTGCATTTCTACACATGAGCATTTCACTTCAGAGGTGAATTATATTCATGATGTATGTCTTTAATTGCCAAAAATGGTTTTTTTGGTTGTTGTTTTTGAGAATAGGAGGTTTTCTCTTTGATAACATACAGCAGATCCTTTTCTTTATAAAATGTGAACCAATACTGAAAAATAATTATAAAAACATTATGCTTTTCATCAGCAAGTACTAATAAGGGGATCTGAAAATTCTGTGCTTGATACTAAGACTTCAGCTTTGCTTTCAGGTACCATCATAAATGGAAATCTTAGACGAAGTTATCTGTGCATGACATCCAGGTCACAGGCTTGTTAGTAGGTATTTGAGGAGATTTTTTGTTCCTACTCTGAAACTTTGATAGCTGTTCTGCAATAAATTGTCAGAAGAGGGGACCTGGGGGTTTATAAAATCCTTGTGTGGGTATAAAGATGGTTTGGCTTTGGGGGCGGGGGAACTGAAGTGCGTGATTTTTCTTCCTTCCCTTGAATAAAGCACTCTACTATCCTCCACTTGAATCCTTCCTGGGACTCCCGATTTTTGCCTGAAACACTTGGGCCATTTCTTTCAATCTTGGGATTGTCACAAAAGACAGCCTAATGGCAAATCAGGCAAGTTCGAACATTTTCCCTTCACAAAAGAAAAGCTCCAGCATGCATAACTTACAGCCCCGCAGCTCGGGTGGGCGCGCTGCCGGCACAAAGGGAGGCAGGGACAGGGAAAGTGCTGCGGATCTTAATAAGCAGATCATGCCTATTCATAAGGGGAAACGGGCTCTTAACAAGCCGCGATGTACGGGCTGGGCCTAGGAGGGACAGGTTGAGGCCCTCGCGTCTGCATGGTGCCATTCGTAGTCGTTTGGATTTCAACGGGATTAAATTGCGTTGTCGCGACCTGTGACAGTCACGATTATTTCTCTTTATAAATGCTTCATTGTGTGCTTAAAATAACGATTCTGGAGGTTGTTGACCTTCTCTTCGGCAAATATTGATCTTTCTCCTTGGGTTCTTTACAAGGGAGCAGTCAGTTCCTCAGTGCCCAGCAGGCCGCAGGCTGTGGGACGCATCCTGACCCCGCATCCCTTGGGGACACGGGGACTGCGTTGTTCTGGGCCACGGGTGGGAGCAGGGGGCTGCAGTCTCAGCTGTGACTGAAGGCTGAAGAAGGATCGACTGACTGACGCCTCGCTTGCCTCTTGATTGCCCTTGCAAGTGTTTTCTGTCAGTGACTGGAAAACGTGCTCTGGGCCTGAGTACAGTTTGCCAAATAGTTGAGTATGTTCATCTTAGTGAAGGAAGCTGCTTGTCAGTAAAGGCTTGAAGTGTGATTCCAAGGCAGGGATGGGGAGTTTGGAAATAACCTAATCCCTGTGTATTTTTATAAAGCCTTCCACTCCTGGAACATTGAGCACCTTGCAGGCTCTGGTTTATTTTAACAGCATTTCTGTGAAACAAAAACACTCCCATTCTCTTAATAATGAGCTGAGCACAAGGATCAGTCTTCCCAGGCCTGGATTTGGTTTGTGTGAGAGTGCTGCACATCAAAGTTAGTTACTGCAAAATAAGGCAGCGAATAGACTGTGAGTGATCACCACAGCAGTAGGAAGGGAGAAGTCATGTTCTGTGGGCCAGTTTGTGTTCCTGCTAGGAGGAAACCGTGCTGGAAGCTGAACAGCTAACCAGAAACGTGGAGTTTGAATTGTATGGGTATCTGCAGAAGGCAGCTACCCTGGTCTGAGCCACCTGGCTCAAAACAATGTTTCTGCTGCATTGGTGCTGCTCTTAGCATCTCTTCTTCACACAGCTTCACCTCCCTCATTACAGCTTCCAATGGCTGAGATATGCTTCTGGTTTCAGTGGCAGATGTACCAAGTTTTTTTTCTTTTTTCTTCTTTTCCTTTGTTTTTTTTTCTCCTTGGGACACCTGGCTATCCAGAATGCTGTGTGATGAGGAGCTGAAAGGTGAGCTCTCTCTTAGCTGGGGCACCCGTGGCCTTTGGGCACCTCTCTAGAAAAGCTGGGGCTTTTTTTGTCTGTAGAAGAAAGAATGGAAAAGCCCCCTTCTGCTTTTCCTTTTACCAGAATTTTCTTTTCTTCCTGTTGGTAAACCACATTGCTTTATATTTTATCCAGCTCTAGATTTTAAGCTGTTTTCAATAGACATGTGCTTTGCAGCTTTCCGAAAGGAAAAAAGGAAAATATATCATCATGAAGATTGCAGACGTGCTAATTTTTGAAATGTTAGTCAAGCATCAGTAATGGGACAGGATGAATAATAGCTTCATGGGCATTTTCTTTTGTCTTTGCCATACATGATGTAAAATATAGTTCAGAGAATTTGTTTAAAAGATTTCTTTCTGTCTTTTGATGCAGCAAGGGAGTGTAAAGCTTTCTTCAACAAAGTAACATCTCAAAGGGAGCTCTGGTGTATGTGTATGTATTTATAAACACCAAGGCTGCAATTACCATAAACCTTATTAAATCACAGCAGTCTGTTTGTTGTTCTCCAAATATGGATATGGCCAGAACATGTCAGTCAAAAAATTATTTAAAAACTCCAACCTAAAACTAACCCTTCAATTTTATGGCCTAGAATTAGAATATAGTCAGCAAGACATAATTTACCACTGTGATATAATTGCCATGAAATACAGTTTTTTAATCAATGGGACTCCAAGGTACAGATAAATTGTGTTCTGACTGGAAGTGTTACAGTCCCACTGCTCCATGATGAGCCGCTCTATGACTACATTTTAAAAAGAGTAAATGCCCATATGTTAAGAAATCCTAAATAGATAGCATCTTAAAAGCCACTCCACATACCAAAAAAAAAAAAAAAAACCAACAGAAAAAAAAAGTATATAAGAAAAGTAGCAGTGTTGTTCTGGTGGGATGCTTCCAACTGGAGAAACAAAACAGCATAGGTGATGTCTCCTTCTCTCTTCTGAGTGGGATTTGTGGTTGTGCTGGGTTCTGACCCTGCTCAAATGATGGTGGGCTACAACTCAAACATGATGAGAATGAGTGCAGAACACTTACCATACCTAGCTGTCTGAGGCAGGTGTGCTTCTAGATACCATGAGAATCTGGCATGCTAATCTGTAGGTGGGGGTCTTGGTACTCAGCTGTTGTAAGAATTACTGTATATCTGGTTAGAACAATGTGAACTGTGAACATTGTACTGTGTACTGCCACCGAATCTGTTAAGGGATATGTGGATATTCCACACAAGTTATATAACATTGGTTGTACAGAAAGAGAGTTTCACTGTACATACACACACACAAAAAAAGAATGCTATTTGTGTCTCCAGATTCCGTGCTAATAGAAAGTTAATCACCATATTTTACTTAGGTAACCATACATGGAAGTAGCACTGAAGACATTCTCCTCCTCTCTTGGCAGGCAACCTTGGTTTTATGGCTGGGGCTTTAATCTTCCACGAGGCCAAGCATTATTAGAGAAGTGGAACCTTATTCCAGATGGGATAGATATTCTTATAACACATGGACCACCTCTCGGTAAGAAAATGTTAGTGCTGTTAGCTGTGAATTTCAAATGATTATACAGTAACTGTTGGCTGTCCTTAGACAGAGTGGAAACCTGACTTACAAAAGTCAAAAGTAACATCCTTACCGATGTCAGCAGCACCAGAACTTCAGTTCAGGTTTATGTTTTGTGATTACTGACAATTTATGGTAGGGAATTAAATAACGGCTACAAAAATAAAGTCTTAATAAATTGGGTCTTAATGAGCTTTATAAATAAGTGAGGTTCAGTCTTCCTGCGCATTTGCCCACGGTGCCACTGGTTGGAGAAATCAGTTGACTTGAAGCATGGAGCAGTTTTGAAGAGCAATGCAGGATTACTTTGTAGCACCATCATTCTCCCTCACCTGCACCAGCGTCCCCCCTATCTACCATGGATTTGCATGCTGACTTGATTTATCTCCTGCCTCACAAACCCCAACACTGTGGTAGTTGGCCTATCTTTGGATAGGGTTAATTGCCTATTTTAAATACAATACAGTAACATTAGCAGGCCTGCAAGAAACAGTTTTGCATTTGTGTTTTACAAGTAATAAGCATACTGATGATACAAAGCAAGATGGGAGAAATTTTTTACCTTCTCGGATAACAGTGAAATGATCTGTGTTATTGAAATGAAATTATCACAGAAACTTGTCCTGATACAGTAAAGGCTTTGTTTTTTAACACATTTGTCAACAAATCTAACAGATAGCAAGCTGTGTCTAATGCTTATGTGTATTTAACTCTCACTAATAACTAGATATGGATGTGAAGCATGTACTAAAATGTTTTGCTGCCTCTTACTGCAGAATAGTATTTTATGTAAGATGAAGGCAGTTGGTTCCTTTAAACCTTTAGATTCTCTTCATTCTTCAATTTCCTGAAGCTAAAATCCTCTTGTCTTTCACCCTTTCTCCTTCTCTTTCAAAATCTGGAGCAGAAAGTGTCCAAAGGGTTTGTGTTTTGTTGTTTCCTATAGAAAGACACGTTTGCATTCCACTGCTCACTAATCCTGGTGAAAGGGCTGCTTTGCAAGCTCGGTTTCTCACAGAGCTGCTGCTCCACCAAACTGGAGTCTCGTGCCGTGTCCAGACTGCTTGTAACCTGGACCTGCCTCATAAAAGTGGATGGCAGAAATGAGTCGTATAGACCTTGATATATCTTCTCTAAATGATTAGCAGAGATAATCGCTATGTAGATCCAAGGCTTGCATTGTAACAGGGATCTTTGACACTGTCTTGTTCATAACTCTCCTGTTTCTAAAATTTCTTCAGGAACGTCAGCACTTTAAAAGCCATTTTCAAAGAGCCTTCAGCTCTTCCTAATATCCCTGTATCCCTGTTTGAAATCCATTGATTGAAGGAAGAGAGCAAGTTTCACACCACTCAGTTTCAGGCACTGTGCTAATTTAGTCACTTGCTTTTGTTATTATTAATATTATTAGTGTTAATAATAAAAATAAGCTTGAGCTGTCCTCCAAGGATTTTCCTTTTTTCAAGTTCACATATCTATGTCTTTTTCGTATTGATACATTCATAGCACAGAACGCTCTGCCTGAGAACATCAGCTGTTGGCATCCCTAACACTCACAGCAACAAATACATGACACTTCAAAAGAAATTAGCACTGTGCCGAACCTACAGAGCCTCCTTAATGTGTAGCTTTGTCCACAGACAGTATGGGAGACAGGATTTTCCTTGACCCTCCAAGCTAATTATTTTAACCAGAAAGCTGATTACTGTTGTTCTGGTCTCAGATAGCAAGATCAGAGCTGTTCCTAATGATCATGTAAAGCAATCAGTTCTCTTGCAAATTCAATTTTTTTTTTTTTTTTCCCAGCACGGCTCCCTAAATTCTGTCATTCATTTTCTCTGCTGCTTTCTTATTCCTTCACTTCCAAAAAGCATGCATCCTCCTAAACTAATTAATACTACATTATTATATAGATTTAAATTTGCCCACGATTTAGATGCAGAAGCAACGTTAAGAGTTTATGGACTTCTTTGTTTCTAACGAAGATATAATCTTTTTTTTCCCAGAGCTTATAAAATATGGTGCTTTACAAGCACTAATGCTGATTTCTGAATCAGCTTATTTTTGTTAGTTTTATGTGTAGTGTAACTTTGAAAGTCCTTTCCCAAAGATCTTCAATTATGATTCTTTCCTCTTCAGAAGTTGACTTCTTTTTTTTGTTTGTTTTTAATTTAATTTCACCCTTAAGTCTTCATTTCTAGCTGTCTGCTTGATTGTCTGTGACAAAGATTTATACTTTCCTGACAGCTGCAGAAACCTGTTTAAAGTAACCAAACATTAAAAAAAACCCTAAAATGATCTCTAATTGTTAGCTAGGTGTAATCAATTATTCTTAGTTTGTGTAGTCAGGTGTACATAATAAGCTGCTAACATATGGGAAAGCTTCAGAAGGGTGATAATGCATGTAAACAAAAACATGTTCAACATAAATAATGCTTAATTTAATGGAGAAGTTAATTTTATGGATTTTTGTTTGTGAAGTTTTTGAAGTGGAAATACTTCTCCCTTTATGTTCACCGCAGACTTTCTGACAATTAACTGTTTCAAATCGTTGAAGTAACAAAGCCCAAAGTTATAACGTGTTTCCTATGAAAAAAAATGTGAACTGAATCCCTGAAAAACTGCTGGTTTCACTGCGACATCTTAAACAGTTGTTATTTCCTACAGTGAATTTTGAAGTGTGTTGGGTGCACTGATGTGCTCTGTCTGTAATTCAGCTGGCTTTCTCTTTGTACATCCCGTCATTGGCTGCCAAGCACCATCTTCAAAGATATCTGAATAAATTAGGAGCCAGCGTCCACTATATGACACCTAGTTCACAACTGATAGCAGGGCAAATTTCTATCACTTAGATAAAACCCACTGAGCTCAGTTTCCGGGCACTGGCATCTGAAGAGGTATTTTTCAATGTGTGAACCTACTCTGAAGCTCCAGTAAAGCTGAAAGCTTTTCCAAGAGCTTGAATACTACACTTCTGGCCTTTTAAGCCAGCTGGTTAGATACTACTTAGCCATGCCTGATTGCACCTCAAAAGTAAACATATGAAAACGAGGTCCAGACTCTGCACCTCCCTGACTGACAACAGTTTTCTCAAAAGCACAATATATTCCTGCTGTTGCAGCAGTCTAAGTCAGAGATGCAGAACTATGACGGGCATGCAGTGAGAGCACCAGAACAAATACAGAAAAACAGAACAGTGGTATTTTTCACATTTCCAAATTTGAGCCTGATCAAAAATGATCAAACAATGGAAAGGAAGCAAGAGGGGTTTCTTCCAAAGCCTCTAACACAATAACATTCTTATTCAGCTGTGAAGGAAGCAACACACTTCAGCTGGCAGCAAGTTTATGGACATAGAAGCAAGTCGGTGTACATTTTTGTCTCATTTTGTTTCATAAAAACTGTGTTTTTATACACATCTGTGGGAGTAAATACAGCATTTCCAAATGTATCTGCTGCACGATGGCTAAGCTTCGTCTGCTATCTGAAGCCCTTAAATTGATTTGACTTGAGGATGCTCTTAGACATGGTCTGGGTTCCTCACCTCGTTGTGCTAACGTAAGAGTCAGTGTGAAAACAATGCCGTTTTATCATTAGTCACACAAATTCATTATATTGGTTGAAGTGTTTTGTTTTAATAACTACATCCCAGGGCTGGATTTAAACAGCTAAGTGTTGATTTAGGTGTTTAACTTTAGAGACTCACTTTGGATATGCAGCTCTTTAATGATAATCGGTCTCTTAAAGGAAGAAGAATGGATGAAGCACTGAGATTTCCTGCTAACGGCAGTGCAAAAAAAAAAATGCTTTAATTGCAGTGATTTTTTCCCTTGAAAAATTATTGCCAAGAGTTATTGTAGTCCTGTTTCTTCAGATGAGCTTTTATGTTTCCTTCTTTCCTCTTCTACTTACCAAAGCAAACACCATTTTTTGCCACGTCAGTTCTTCTGACTGCTTATGAGAGGCCATGAGACGTTAAATCTCAGAAATGTTTTTGAATACTACAGCAGTGCAGCTTTGCAAATGATCTGTCTTCTTTTAAAGCTTTCCTTTCTTTTCCAAAGGTTTTCTAGACTGGGTACCTAAGAAAATGCAACGGGTAGGATGTGTAGAGCTGCTGAACACAGTCCAGAGACGAATACAGCCAAGGCTTCATGTGTTTGGACATATCCACGAAGGTCAGAAAACATTTCTTTCTGTATGTACTCGAAACCCACAGGCACAGAACTTGTCTGTTTTAACCAGTATTTTTCAACTTGAATGTCTGAAGTAGCACTTTTGGAATTCAGATACTTATTTAGCTGCAAATATGCAGATGAAGTTGGCTGATACTCACATTTCAGTATTTGTATTTCAGATTCTCTTTTAGTTTCTTCATCTATAAAATAGAGTGGTGCCTTCTTCACAGTGAGGCTTACTGTGAGTTTTAAAATGACACCAGTGCAGTAGTTGCAGGAAGGGACTAAATATGAAGATTGATAGATTGTATTTTCCTCTGCTGAAACTCTGTGACTTAAGGTAATTCATGCAAGTTCTTTGTGTCTCTGTTTCTGTGTTTTTAAAATGGGTGAGAGTTCTTTAGGGGGTACTTCTGAAGCCTATTCTTTAAGATTGGACAATAAAAGTTGTCTCTCCCTCTCTCTCTCTATGAATTTAAAATGAAGAGCAATATCACGACTTACTTGTGTAGAACTACAAGATGCTTATTCATGTATTTATGTGCTTTGGCAGGGGAAATGTTTTGTAGCCGGACAAAACACGACATTTCTCTTGACTGATTTTTAACTGGAAAAAATAAGTTCTCTTCACAAAGTCAGTAAATGTTAGCAAACGTGTGCTGCTGAATTCAGGAACAGCAGGAGTTTGTCTCCAGGCAAAGGGTATGGTAGATGCCCTCTGCTCCAGAGGAGTCTGTTCCAGTACACGTACAGTGGCAGTAAGTCTTCAAGCATGCCCCCACCAAAAGAAACCACTGGGCTGTGCAGAAACGTGCCCATCGGCATGTCAGCATGTATTATTAGCTACTTAGCTCTTGGCAGTGTTAACTGATTGGCAGGAAAAGGTGCTCCACAACTGCCAGTTTTTGCTTCTGAGATTGCTCCGGACTTCAGTGTAGGATATCAGTGGGTTTCAGCAGTGCAGGAATGAACTAATGAAAAAACTGGAGTAACTGGCACCCTGATACTTCTGCTTTTGTGAAGAATTATTGCCTTTCACAAAAAATCCCACTTGGACTTTCTGCTTGGAGTCTTGATCCTGCTAGGTTAAGAGTGGTTAGAGGTGCGCTGCTTTAAAATTGACAGAGAAGTCACTGAGATCATTATTTTAGAGGGCAGGAATGAAGTTCATTCTCTTTTCTCATCTGTGATGACCTGTTAATGTCCAAATTGTTGTTAAAAGTACAGAGCAAACAAGCAGTGCATAGGCAATATTTTTTCCTAATATCTTGCTGTTACAGCAGGCTTTGAGAATCTGTACAAGAGAGCTGGTGATTACAATTCAAACTCATTGTCTTTTCAGAAATAGGCCAAGTGAGTTGCAAGGGAGGTAGGCAAACAGTGAGCCAAGAAGCTTCAGGCAGGTAAACAAAATCACATCTGCTAAGACCAAGCCCAACTTTGGCTCCCAAGTGAAATGAGTGGCACCTCCACAGTAATGGTATATCATGTGAATTAATAAGTTGGCACAGCAGGTATCAGAACACAGAAACAAGGTACTCTTCCCATCAACTACTATAATTTAGAGAAAACAAATGGGGAGCTGTATAGCCTGTTTTGCAGTGGGATGGCAACTCTCTGCAGAGGAGAATTCCCACTGCAGACAGGCTGTGCAAACGGAGCTGCTCTTTGTAGAGAGAATGATTTGAACAGATGAGTTCCTCCCTTGACTGGCATAGCTACATCTGCAGCAGTCATTTACTGAATATCCAGGAGGAAGAGATGCTTAGAAGAAATGTTTCTTCCCTATTCCCCCTCTGCACAGCTGTCTCTGCCAAAAAATACCTCTACACATGGCCTTGCTGCTGATTGACGTGGTGGTGATGAGATGCCTGGCAGGGGCTCCAGCTGAAATACTGCTTTGCCAATTACAGCCAGTGCTTGGTGGAGGTCAAGCCCAAGGAAACTCTGCTGGCAGTAAGGGAAGAGTGAAGACTGTAGTGTGATGAATCTTCCAGCAAAAAGAATGTATTAGCGAGCTTATTTTGTTCTCTCCAAATGTGTAGCTGAGGAGACAGAAACTCCCAGCAGCAATGCAGACTGTCCTTGGTGCAGCCTGTGTTTTACACAGGACGATTGTTCTGTGGCAAACAGCACATGATGTAAAGAAATGTCTGTGACAGGAACCTGACAGAGTTCTCTTCCCTCCCTACGCCCTAATTATAATGCGGCTTTTCCATGGGGAGTCCAGGAGGCCCTGCATTTTTCAGGGTATTTTAAGGATCTTTGTTTATAAATGCTACAATTAACAGTGCTTCTGTAAGACATGGAATTGCTTTCAGAAAAAACTAGGATCCTATGTACCTAGGAGAGCAACAGTTTAACTCAGTGCACATAGGTCGCTCCGAAAGTAATGCCTCCTTTTTTATTTCCATGGAAACTAAAACTGGTACAAAGAGCACAATAACATTATATGATAGAGCAAATTCTCAGCTACAAAACTCTATTTTCTAACACAGTCACCACCATTAACTATTCATTTTTGCTAGCAGTGAACAATGAGTGCATGCCACACTCATAAAAATCTTCATGGCCATCTGGAACGTGGTTTGTCTTTCACATCAATGTCACCACTGCTGAAATGCACCACCCACCACCTCACTGTGCTCACATCTACTGTTTGGTTTCCATAAACATCCAGGAAGTGTTAATGATTGTCAGTGGGTACCATTTTTTCCACTTTGAGGAATTCAGTGACACACCTTTCCTACATCTGCACTTTCATGTCAGGTGCCATTTTGTCAGACTGCCCCTCTGCTGTCATGTCACACAGTGTAATGGAATATTGTTGGGAAAGTTCAACCTTTACTGCCATACCACCATCACCTGCCTCTGACGTTGTGCACCAGCATAATAAAATAGGAGCAACCCTTGTAGCAGTGAATATTTTCACTATTTCACTATATAGTGAATAGTTTCACTATTAACTTTAGTAACAGTAAGATTGGTTGTTAGTACAAAAGCCTTCCACTAGGTGATTTTCCCAAAATCATGTGTTTCAGACTGTGAATGCATTTCATTATATTGATCATAATACTTGCATTTAGTTCAATGAAAGTTTTCAACATGAAGCTTTAGTGTTATTAATTCATGCTTTCATGCTTTCTCCTAGAAGTACATGAAAATATTTTTGACAGTGGACAATGTGTTTAATTTTCAGTCCAGGGGCTTTTTCTTCAGCTTTTCAAACAGCATTTCACTGCATTTCTACAAGCTTAAGAACTGGAAGTTTGATTTCCTGCAGATTTAGCTCTGAGAGTGTCTTGAATGTCTAGTCGGACATGAGATGTAGTTAAAACTTTTTCCCTACTTGTAAGACATTCTGGAGGTGTTTTCTCCTATGGAAATGTTACAGTGTCCGGGGGGGAATTCACCTTGTCTGTCAAAGAATGTATTAATGAAGTCATTTTTCTCTTCCTGGGCTGACATTTTACAATCTTTCCATCACATTTTATTGGAATTAGTCATCAAGATCAAACACATGGGAAGAGGTTCCTACAGAGACTAAGCCCAACCATGTGTATATGCATACATCTTCCCCTTGGTCACATCATCCTTTTTCTCCATCAGTTGCTTAAAATATTTACAACACAGCACGGAAAAAAAAGGTAGAAGAAGAAAAATTGCCCAAATTCTTTTGCATGGATGTCTGCAAATCTAAATGAAGTATTTTTTTTTTTTTAGTGCTGAAACTGTCTAAGCTCTGTCTTCCAATCCCTTCTAAAACTGGGGAGGTTTGAAGAAAACAGCTTTTCAAAGAGAAATACCAATGTTTATAAGGAGGTTTGGGGGGCAGGCTGCCAGAGATGATAGCCTCTATCTAGTGAGGGTCAGTTTTTGTTTTCTTATGCTATATGGCAGAATGTTCTACTGTAGAACAAAGATGGTATTCATCCAAGAGACTTTCACATTTTGCATTAAGGTAAATTCTAAACACCTTCTGAATAATAAACATGCCAGTCATCATTGTTATGTGATAAAGATAAATAATAAAAATGATTTAAAGATGAATAATGAGAGTAATTAGAGCTCTTCTTTTTTCGTAGGTTATGGTGTCATGGCTGATGGAACTACTACCTACGTGAATGCTTCTGTGTGCACTGTGAATTACCAACCACTAAATCCACCTATAATTATTGACTTACCTACTCCGAGGAATACATGATTATAATAAAGGATTTCATGTTGTGCCCAACACATTAGCAACTTTATATTGCTGGCTGAGAATCCCAATAGGGAACTGTTCAACAAGAAAAGTCCTTCTTCTCTTTTTCCTGCTAGCTCTTCACAGATAAATCTGAGTGACAAAAACGGATGATGAACAAAGACTTTTTGGTGCCAGAAACAGATTAAAGACATATCACCATTAAAATGTTTGTGAACACAGAAAAGTGAATGCATTCCACATCTTCCACATCTATATATACATATACATCTCTCTCTTTCTCAAGTAGAGACTTTTGTATATACCGTACATTATATTGGACTAACTAAAAGAACAGTGTCTTTCAGGGGAATGTTTCTTCAAGAAAGTTTGCAGTTTAAACAGAGTTTAGACTAGGATTTTCTCATTTCAGATGTTTCCCACTGAGCTCTTGATAAAAGTGATGTTAAAGATGTTTTCCCTTAACACAGGATACACAAAAGATGCTTCATAAATGACCAGCCACAAGAGGAAAGCTATTATTTCAAGCCTTCCAGGTCTTGAGTCCTTGCATCTATTCAAAACCAATGCAATAGAGGTCTTAATTCACTGTACTGAAATGAAGTTTGCTACATCTGACATTAAGGGAAAGGATGCATATTGCCAGCATGTTCTAAACAGCTCAAAATCTAAGAAGGGAGAAGGGAGACTGTGTTAAGTGCAGTATAAACTCAGGAATTTGAGAGCTGGTTTCGCCTGTGGGGGAAAAAAAAAAAAAAAAAAAAAATGAAGGAGTATAACTGTGTTTTCATATGGTAAGGCAATGCGTGATTGTCTGTAAAAAGAAAACAAAAACAAAAACAACACCCAACAACCCATTGCTCAGTATTGAAATTTTAAATGAAACCCACTGGGACTATTTGTTTAAAACTTGTTGCTGGTATATGCAGCCAATAGTGAGATTTCTGTTTTGAATTTGGCCCATGTCAGCTGTGACTGAATGTCATTGTGATCATTTTGTCCTTTGGGAAACCGTATGGACCTCAAGGGGGAGGGGGAGGGGTCATCCAAAAGTGGGGTTTGGGCATTCAATTTTTGGATAGCTATGTAGTAGCATAAGTGCAGTGAGTGATGAGTACATGCCAGTGGGTACAGAGCAGAGCTTGCCTCACAAAGAGCTTGCCTGTCATGGCCATGTACCCATTCATGGGCACTGTTGAGGGAGGCCCAAGACAAAACCATAAACCCAGCTGAAATCTGTCTCTTGTGCTGCGTGTAGATGCATCCAGGCAAAGCAGGGGGTGTCAGGAGCTGCTGGGGATGGCTAGCACCAATCTTAACTGTGCAGCTTTCCTGCAGGTTAGCAGAGGTGTTGAGTCTGCTGGGATTTCCACACAGTCCTGGGCAGAAGCTAGAGATCTGTCTACGAACTTGCAAAAATACTTGCTTCATATGTGTCCCGCAAGAAATGGGTTTCTGCCTTGAACTAACACCTCCATGCTCAAAGCAGCTTTTCTGCCTGGATGGAGATCATTTAACTGCTGGAATCTGAATGCTGACTTTCAGTGTTTGGGGCTGACTGCATTTACATATTAATCTTGTTTACACAAATTAGGCAACTCATCTCACTATCAATACTGGATTGTTTTCAGCTCTGCGCACAGCTCCTACGTGCACACACACAGTGGATGGTAGTATCGGTTACTTTTTGCCTGATGTATGGATGTGAAGGCGAGCTTGGTGTAGCGGCTGCATCTATATCAAAATTCCTGCTCTGCCAACCCAGGCTAGCAGCCACAACTCTAAGGGAGGCAGGCAGAAATACTGCATTTTGGGGGTTTCCTGAATCCTCATCCAGTGGATGTTGGAAGCTGTGCAATTCGAAGCCAGCAACTGATGTGCTGTGGGTCCACTGACAGTAAGAAACATGGCAAGCCGTAGAGCTGTCACTTCCTGGAGCGGCTGTGTGACTTAGGATCTAAACTGATTTGCTGCTTTTTCCTGAAACAGGCAAACAAACAAAAAACAAACATAAAAATGAGCGGGGGTTTCCTGGAGTGAACAGTTCACAGCACAAGAACAGTCCACCACTGAATTCAGCTGGGTCTACTTTTTGTAAAATCCATTGGTGTAGAAATTGCAAGATCAGCTCCTAACTCAGCAAAGACTAAAATTCATAGCTTAATGTGAACTCCCACCATCATTGGGAAGATGAACAATAGCATGCAGTTAAAGTGTCTAATCTAGTCACAATTTGAGCGTTTTGAAACAAACGTGGCAGGAAATTGGCTGTATGTTAAAGAAGTCTGAAATGTTTACATTCACTCATGGCACTTAAGATACTAAAATGCTGAAAGTGGAGGGAAGAGGTCCTTTTATTGGCCTCAACAAAATTTCTATGTCGACCATAAACTATTCTCTTAAAAATAATTTTTCCTAAGGTATCTTCAAAATACTGTGTATTTTTATGTGAAAAAGATATGAAAGCAGCTGTTACTTCAAAATATCATTTAAACTACTTGAGGTATGAAAGCTTAAAGGTTATTTAATCATTTTGGCATAACTTGATTGTTGTTGTAATTTTTGGTCAAGCATGTTAGACAAATAAAGTCTTAAAAGAAACAACAAAACACAAGGCTTCTTTATATCCCCCTGGCGCACTCAATCCCAGGTAATAGAGCATCTGCTCTGCAGCTGTGGGAGCCAGCCTGAGGGTACTGAGTTGGGGTATTGAAGCTGCCATCATGAATGGCTGGGGGCAGCTGGCACAGAGGGTGGGGTGTCCCATGGGTCATGCAGCCGACACAGTGGTGGTCACTATGATATGACCAGCAGGGCATGGACTTTGTCCTGCTCTGTCCTGGTAAGTCTTGGTCTTCATTGTCACTTGCTCAAGCTGCACGCTGCCCTTTGGGAATGTTTAGTGAACTGGGGGACGGACAGTTTGAGTGCTGGCTTATGTCTGTACAGACACAAACTATACAGGTTTGTGAGATAGAGCAAGGGAACATTTTTATTTTAGCATTGTGAACACCATCAAAAGCCTGGATTTCTTGCCCCAGCTCCAATCTACCCCAGGTGAACAAGGCCATGAAAGGGAAGGTTTTGCAGTTTTGGAACTGTCAGCTCTGTTTAAATTCAGGGATGAGCTGTCAAGATGTTTCCCACCCCCGTCCCCAGGGCTGACCTTCACCGCTATTTATCCAGGTAGGATCACTCCCAGAGGTGTGCTGGTGTGTGTCAGTAATAACGTGCGTTCCCATCATTAGGCAGAATTGTTACAGAGATAAATTCCAGTTCACTTCAGTGAGGACTAGGAGATATTGCTGCATGTCAGTGAAAAAAGGCGAGATTATTTTTACCTCTCTCAGGCACATACGGCTGGGGATGTGAAATGTTCCTTGGCTACGAGGAGTGAGCAAGCAGGGATGCGGCACCCACCAGAGCAGCTGCGTTTTCCACTACCCACCACAGTGTACCCCGATCTCGGGAGCTGGATTTGGGAAGTCAGATGCTGCTGCTTGTGAGAATCTGAAGCTAGAGAACCCCAGAACTTCTCTGCCCTTCAAGGAGAGTTCTTCAGGGATACAGCAAGCCACCTTCCTGGGGGAAAGGTGGAAATCCCTGTCTTCCTCAACAGTGTGAAGTGTGGAGACTGGAGGCCGTGCTGGGCAGGAGGCAGTGCCAGCATTCAAGCATTGCTGCAACAGGCAGCTAGAAGGGATAGGGAGAAGCAGTTCATCTTCTGCAGACTCTGAGCATGCTGACAGCCAACATAAGTATTTCAGAGGAAGGAGGAACAAGATACTCCTTTGAAGGCAATTTTTGGAATAGTCTGCTCATGGGGATGTCTGCCCCTCTTCATTTATTCTTGTTTGTATGTGAATTTCTCTCTTAAAAACTCGTATTATTGCTCACTGCTAATGTAACTCACATTTAGCAAAGATAACTGCAAATGTCCTGTCAGGTACATTGCTGTCCCTCTCAGGAAACTCTCTGCATCTGAGATTTCAGAGATATTTTAGAACAGCAAGCTCCCTGGGTGATGATGCACCGTGCATTAGAACAACAGCATTTCGTTTATCCCTGCAAGAGTGCCGCCACTCGACTTTGTTGACTGTCCCTTTGTTATCTTTTTATGTGAAAAGTGTGAATAGGAGTGCTTATATGTACCTGCTTTGGACCATTTGTTATTTTGTATATTTCCAATACGTTGCTTTTTCCTCACTTTGTCAGGAAATTTAAACAATTTCAAATATTTCTAAACCTCTTTCTGTCCTATCCCAGAAAGGCTCTCTCCCTTCCCATGTGTCCTGTGGGAGCTGGGGAAAGCCAGGGACTCTGGAGGACCTCCTGTCCCTTCCCAACAGAGCTTCCGGGAACAACGATCTGCCACTTTCTTCTGTCCTGATCTTCATCTAACACTGTTCATTTGTTTAGGATTTTTTGATAACAGCAGGTATTTGCAGCCCAAAGTGAAGGACTGTGGTGAGCTGCCTATGGTCCCAGATGGAGTTTTCCTTTAAAGAGATGGCAGCCTATCTAGGCTCCCCTGGTTTGTACAAGCACCATCTATTCGAGGACACATCCACGTGGGAATCCTTTTGTGTCTCTGTGGAATCCCTTTGAGTCCATGTCAGAATGTTTCTGCGGCCTTTCCCCTCTGGGCCCCTCCCCTGGCCCTGGTGGTGCACTCTGCAGCCCTCCTCTCCTCAGGCCTGCCAGTGGTACTCCTGGCTGTGGGGCCGGGCACACTGCTGTGAGGGGCTGGCAGCAGAGGGATGCCTCATGGCTCCCATCCCATAGTGTGGTGCTTCCCAGCATGTCCCTTGCTCATGACCCTTTGCAGTCTCTCAGGAACTGCTCTTTGACAAAGGTCTACATCAGGACCTTTGCAAGTGTCCACCCAATTATATCAAGGTACCTCTTCTTGACAGGATTTTGATGTACCAAAGCTTTCAAATAGATTAAAGGAACAAGCTTTTATTTTCCAGAAACTGACCATGTTTTATTTCCACACACAGCAAAGTTCATTCTCTTCTAGAGCATGACAAGCCAATGCTGAGCAGAGCAATTAACCTCACTGTCAGCCATTGGGCCTGTGCACAACATGCCCTTGTGCTCCCGCCATTTGCTCAGCCTCAACACCACCCAGGTCTGGTCAGACAGCAGATGGCTTCTGGCACTGGAACACTGTGTTTTGAAGGCCCCGTTCCCAGCTGGAAGCCAGCCTCATGCCATGGGCCTCACTGGGGAATGGTGATCGGATGGGCTTGCTGTTTTCATTCAGTGCTTTCTGCTCTGGGGATGTCATGAGCCTTCAGTGCACTGATGGAGTTGTGCTGCAGAAACAATTCTGGCTGCCTTGCATGGCAGCCCATCCAGCAGCTGCTGCTCCTGTGAGGGAAACATTCTTAGGCTAACAGAGACCTTCACCCCTGCCTAACAGCTTGGGACAAAGTTTCCAGAAATAATAAAGTTATGCAGGATAACACAATTTAAATTGATTAGGCAATTAAACCTTCATTTGTATTTCTTTTAGCTATTTTATAAGGCCTTTGCATGGTGCAGCTGCTCTGACTGCATCTGTTACCTGATGTTTTACAAGGAAGGGAAAGCTGCTTTGCATGGACACGTGTTGGCTGCCAGTCACCTTTCTTTTGTCACCAACCCTTCTGCCTCTGTCCTCACCACTGTGTGCCACTCACTGGGGGGCTTCATGAGCAGCCCCCAACATGGGTATCCCCACTCCAGACACATCTGTCTCTCCAGGGGCTGGAGTGCATC